CCCCCTCACCTGGTTTTTTCAGGATTTGGGTTTCTTAGGCTGGCGTGCGGCGCCGCTGTCAAGTCAGTACGCATATCCATAAGTGTGTGTTCGCGTCCCTTCCTGTTTTGGAAGAGTCCCCCAGGCCCACAACAATACATTTGAGAACTTCCCACTTGATTTCTACAGCCGAACACACTGAATACAAGCTCTAGTGCTCAACCTCAAGCCAGCTCGTTCAAGTTGTAGAGAATCAGGGGGTCCTGCATATTTTCAGGATTCTTTCTGTGACTTGTTCAAACATGTTCGGGTCCTCGTCGCAGTTTGCGGCCGTTTTGGGTTTCAGGTCTGCAGACGTGCACTTCTTGGTCTCACCGCAAGTAGACTGTAAAGGGCTACTGCACTTTAGATTCATCTGGTTCAGCACCATAGGTGCGACCCGCTTCCTGCTGAGTTTCAACCCCAAGCTGTAACGGTATGCCACCAATCACCAGTCGTCACGCTCGCACCGAATCGTCACCCCTGCAAACACCTTGTGACAGTCTGTCCTGCAGCTGCAAAACCATTGAGGTGTGAGCTCACAATGCTGCGGAAGCCACCAAGAGACCTGTCCTGACGGCAGCTGCGCCGGAATGTGTCGTGCCAAGTGTCATCAACAAGTTCACCACCCATTTCCTTACTATATACGTCTGATAAACTCCTTGGTGACAAAGACAGGGAGCACTGCAGCATCTCCGACATTGGAGTTGGCTCCGAAGGCAAGGCGGGGTTGCTGCGCATGCATCTTGGAAAAATCAATGTTTTCAAGCAGGTATTGCCTCAGTTTGCACAAATCTTGAACATACTGACAGCCCACTCCAAGTGAGTTTCAAGTATACAAGCTCTTTGAGTTCTGCTCTTTGGAGACTCCTGTATCAGACTTTGGTCTTATGTCACTTCTTATGATCACAAGTGGAAAGAACAAAAATGATCCAAATGGAGGACAATGTAGCATAGGCAGCACAGATCATCATGAAGGCTCATGCTTGAATGCTCCTTGGGGAACTATATAAGCCCTTGCACTGGTGCGGTGCAGCACTTCTCTCTAATTGTTTGTCAAGTGTCACATTGCAAGGGCCCGCTCCACCTCGCAAACCACAATGCTGCCCAGCAGCAAGCGCAGCAATTCCTGGTGGGCTCCTGCCTGCACGCTCTGACAGGGCCAAAGGGGCAACTGGAACCGATAGTCTTTTGAGTTGGATCGATATTGTTGCATTAACACTTTACACTTGCTTATTGAGACTGCGACTGTCAAAGTTTGTTTCCAAAACAATCCATGCTACCATAATTAGACACAACCACAACCAGGCTGCAGCCTAGAAAAGCACAGTTCTTCATCCCAAAGACGAAAGGGCCAGAAGGGCCAAGGAATTGTAGAACACCATATCCTCAGATAGAGATCGTGACGAAGTTGAAGCCATAGTCTAAACTGGTGCAATTAGCCAAGGTGAACACAAGTTGGTGTCAAAAGATCCAATAGCACATGTTACTTGTGGCTTGGCACATGTGTCGCACCTGGTGCCGGGAATCGTCCAAGGTTTGCGTCGAGCATCTGTTGCTGGGGTCGTTGGCAAAGACAGAGTCAAGCAGGTGCCAAAGCCGGCCATCCACAAAATCCTTGCCCACCTTCCAGTACATGGCATGGCCATTGTTGACCTGGAGGAAAGCAAAATTGCAAAAGAATCTTGAGAGATTGATGTAGACTTGTCGCTGGCAGGCGAAGCCCACTGACAGCTGAGAAATGTAGGAAAAATCCTTCAACGCTTGGAAGACACTTGACAAAACGGCCAAAATAAAGGATCCCTCAACAAGTTTTCAGCGACACTGGTGTAGTTGATGAACTGGATGTCACCAATGGCATACTGGCCGACATACGTGTTGTGCCAGTTCACTTCATCTCGTACTTCATTCACCACACCATTGTCGGCACCATCTTTGGTGAACCACTCGCAACTGTCTTTGTCAAGAAGCAAACCGTCTTCATCAATCTTGACATTTCGCGGATACTGATGGTCCAAGTACAACCCAAATCTGTTGCAGTCGTGGCATGTGTTGCCACGCCACTCTCCAAAAGGGTAGAATTGTGGACAGACTTTCCCAAAGGCTTTGCCATGTCCAGACCCACGAAAGGATCCCGGGGTCCAAATTCCATTTTCATAACCCACAATACGGTTTTCGACAATGTTGTTGCTCATGCCAATCATGAAAATCCCAGCTGTTTGTGAGGAAGCACCACTCACCCAGCTGACTCTACACTTCCTCAAACTTGAACAAATCATGACATTTTGGCTGAGTGTATTCCGCAATTCGTTTCCATCTTCAATATACAAGCCGTTGGCCTTGGCATCCCACACGACATTTTGGTCCACTAGAGCATCATGGGTTCCATGAACCGTGATGCCAACGTGTTCTCCATCTACAACAGCATTGCCCTGGAACACGCAACGAGGGCACTTCTTCAGCAAGTGAAAGTGAAGACAGTATCGCCCCATCACTGGACGCTGGCCACAAAACTCTACTCGAGCATAACGCATATCCATGTAGCCAGGACCATCTGCCTGTATAGTGTGCAGTCCTTCTCCGCTGCTTTCAATATCCTGTTGCACTGGACGACAGAGAGTAGGAGTGTGTGAGTTCAAAAGGAACAGCAAGAAGGCAGCGATGTCAGGACACAAGGACACAAAAAACAACTCCAACTTGCAAAAACTTGCCCGCACCTTCGTTACACTCCAACAGCGCGTGCATTTTCGCTTGGGAACGAAAAATGCATATTCTGCATCATGAGGTGTGTCTGGGAGAGGAGTGGGATGGGGGAACACATTGAAAAACATATTGTTTTTGCAGGATAGAAAGCCGCACTCGTAGAGAAGTGTACCAACTTGAGCGGCTTAAAGCCGTTTTTGTTCGAGCGTCAAAAGGAGGTTGGCGCAGCTACTTGTTTGAGGACCTCATTGGCATTGGCAGCTTGGAGGGGGTGGCGCGCAGCCAGCCTGGACATCAAGACAGCTTTTCTCAATGCTCCATTGCAGACCTTGCAGGAAAGCAGCAAGAAGAAGGCCATGGCCTTGGAGGATGCTCATGGGCGATATCAAGAACAGACTTCACCTCAACTGCCGGAAGATCGGGTGGAGGAGCAGTCTGAGCAGGGCCCGGAGGGTGACGAAGAAGCTCCGGAACAACGCAATCGGCTGGTCCTCATGCTTCCGCCCAAGTTGCTCATTCGCCTTGGATTGGCAAAGGAAGGAGATGTGGCTGGTTGAAAAGGCACTCTATGGACTCCGGGAATCCCCAAAACTATGGGGGGACTATAGAGACATCGAAATCAGCCAGATGTCTCTCATGGTGGGCCATGCGGAGTATGAGTACCAGCAGAGCTTTGCAGAGGAGAACTTGTGGCTTGTCCGCCGAAAGGATGCTGTGGGGGGCTCACGTCGAAGGCCTTGCACTGGTCTACGTGGACGATGCGATGCTCTTTGGTACCAAGGAGGTGGTGGAACAAGGGCTTCAGTGCTTCCAGAAGTATTGCGGTATGGAGTTGAGCCGAACAGAGCATGGTGACTGCCACGCGAACCAGTGCTCCTACTTGTGGGAAGCGGTGCGGAGGCATGGCATGGAGGATCTATGCAGTGCTCAACTCATGAAGGACTCCCAAGAACCGGAGACAGAGCTGAACGCCCCAATGACACAGGTGAAGGAAGCACAACAGCTAGCAGGAGAACTGCTGTGGCTGGCGACCCAAACAAGACCAGACATCGCCTATGTGGTGAGCAGGATCTGTTCGGCTGCAAGCAGGGCACCGTCATGGGCAATCAAAACGCACCAACTGATTCGACACCTCAACGCCACTCAAGGGTTGGGGCTATGGTACAGACGAGATGCTCCACTGATCCTGGAGTCGGTTAGCGACGCCTCATTCGCAGCTGGCGGAGCTCACAGTCATGGATGTGCCATCACCACCTTGGGAGGAACTCCGGTAGCTTGGAAAACCGGCTCTGTCAACAGCAGAAGCAGAGCTCATCGAGGTCATCGAAGCAGTGGTGGTTGGCGATAGCATCGCTTGCATGGTGGAGGAAATGATCCCTGGAGTTGCCAAGTACCTCAACCGCGACACACTGCGGCAGTGTCCATTGCAAGCTGTGCAACAGGAGCTTGGAGAACGAGACACCTGAAAGTAAAGGCAGCACACTTGAGGTGGAAACTGCAGGCGGGACTATGGGAGCTGAAATACCAGCCTGGACGCGAGCTGATCGCTGACGTGGGCACGAAGGCACTACCTATCGCAAAGATGAAGGACTTGCGAGAAAGAAGGTCCATGTGGGTGGCAGCCGGACAGCGTAGATGAGGTGCGCGAAGAGGACAAGGGCATCACTGCACCAAGAGCCATGAAGTTGGTAGCTCGATATCACCTTGAAAAGGCAACAAGGATGGTGATGGTCCTGAGCGCCCTACAAACAGTGCATGGTGCTGTCCAAGACTCGAAGGGAACACCATTGGAGGAGAACGAGGAGGGCAACAAGATCGTGATGATCTCTGGCGTGGTCATGATGTTGGTGGGTATAGAACTGGTCAAGTTGCTGGAAAAGGTCCGACGATGCATCAAGTCAAGGAGGTCGGAGCAGCTGAACACGAGCGAAGGAGGGCAGAATGTCTCCACGAGTACAACCCCAACGTCACAACCGACCACTACGGTGATGGTGTCAAGGCTTTCAGTTGAAAGCCAAAGTGGGTCTACATCGACACCACCAAGGCCGTTGTCGAGTACCTCAAGGGTGGCCACAAGCCGTGATCCGAGAGGTGATGAAATGTGAGATCTCCGATGAACATACCAAGACTCATCCCGAGGCACTCGAGGCCTAAACCGCTTTACCTTCGTGGGGGGCTCCTCACCACAAGACGAGTCAGCAGAAGACCCCGCCTCACTCGAAGAACTCTCCGAGCTAGAATCATCCTGCACCACAATGGGCTCGTGCTCCTCCTGAGTTTCCGACTGCACACATTCGGAGTCCGTTGTTTCTGCCTTTGCCAATGATCCAACCTCAGGTGCACACATCAAAGCACTACCACTTTCAGTCTCAATCATAGGTTCACATCTGGTGAAATAAGCACTACGGGGTGCGTCAGGATTGAAGTTTCCTTTGAAGATCTCGTCAATGACCACATGCATTTCACGAGTCGGGGCAACACACAAGTCCCTGGAGTAGAAGGCATAGGTGCCAGACGTGGCACTGGCGTGCCTCCCGAGAATTGATCTGGAGGGCTCAGAACCTCCTTCATCGTCGACCATGGTGGCACAACCAAAGGTCTACAGCGGCCGAAGGAGGGCAATGAGACCACAACCGGTGCAAGTCGCCTACTTTGCACCGAGTGGAAAGCGATTCCACAAGGTGAGAGATTGCCGAGGCCTTCGAAACGCCAACGAGATCGAGGGCATCGCGATCTGCCAGGCCTGTCAGCACCAGACGCAAGGCCAGAGGCCGTACAGCCAGACTCTGTGGCTGTATCAAGATGAAGTTGACCGGCTACACACCGACCCCACGTGTGGAGCGGTCACTGGAGCCATGCTGGAAGTGAGAGCGTGCAGCTTTTGCGGAAGGGATGGGCGGCTTGAGCTGAGAGCGCAGCTTTCAAGACAGTTCAAAAAGAACTGGGAGGAGTGCAGGATAGAAAGCCGCACTCAACTCGTAGAGAAGTGTACCAACTTGAGCGGTTTAAAGCCGTTTTTGTTCGAGCGTCAAAAGGAGGTTGGCGCAGCCCTGACCAACAGTTTTCATATATCATTTGCGCCCGACTATATTTCTGATTGCCGCATCATTTGCATCACCGCGTCCAAAGGCAAACAAACGGCTCCTCTCCGCAGTCTACGTCTTGAAATATCTTTCATGATTGCATCATTTGCATCAGTTAATTGCAATTGTACAGCTTATATGTTATGGTAGCATATGCATCAGCTGGTTGCAAGTGTATGTAAAGATTATTGTACAAAATGCCCGCACCTTTGCAAAATTTGGACCCTGAACAATTTAGAATGTCAAGGCGTGGGAAAATATACAAGTAGTTCCCGGGCAAGCCCGCGGCGGAAGTTTCCTATAAGAACACATTGACCTATAGGAGTGTCCACGTTCTCTCCACCATGCGTGTCCCTCGTGTCACTCACTGAGCCAAACGCACGCGCTCCGGACTTTTGACACACACACACACAGAGCCACCTGTGCAAGGTCTGTGCTCCCTGCAGGATCAGCGCACTGGGTTGTGTCTATGCCAAAGCAAGATCACCAGCCCACACCGGCGTGCTGAAGCAACTGGGCATCTGCAAGCGAAAGTTAAGTGCAGCTGGTGCGGGCACGCGAAGTGGGTGGTGTTTTCAAAGTCAAAATCATGTCTTCATTGTCCACCTTGCCAAATACTCCGCGTACTTTACAGTTGTACTACAAAGTCGCCAGTTCTCATTTTCCAGCTCCCCAGATACTCAGCAGCGAGAGATGACTCACCAGCGAGAGATGACTCAGCAGTGAGAGATGACTCAGCAGCGAGAGATGACTCAGGAGCAAGAGATGACTCACCAGCGAGAGATGACTCATCCGCGTACGAAAGTTGTACTACAAAGTCGCCAGTTCTCAGCTTCTAGCTGCACAGATTGCTCCGCGTACTCAAGTTGTAGTACAAAGTCACCAGTTGCTCTCTGGCTTGCTAGCTAGCGCCTTCAAACCATGGTCAGCTACATGTACGGATCCCAAACAAAAGCAAGTCACACCCAGTCAACCCAGTCCAACCGCTGGTTCTTTCCAAACAGTGTCCCTAGTCATGGTCAGCTATACGTACAGAATCCAAAACAAAACAAATCATACCCAGGCAACCCAATCCGACTGGACGGGTTCCAAAACAAAAACAACATGCGTGCCCCTGGTCAGTCGCACGCCCTCCGGACTTTTTGACCACCACAGCGCCACCTGCGCAAGGTCTGTGCTATACCAAGGCAAGATCAGCAGCCCACACCGGCGCGCTGAAGCAACTGGGCATCTGCAATTGAAAGTTAAATGCAGCTGCTGCGGGCACGCGAAGTGGGTGGTGTTTTCAAAGTCAAAACCATTTCTTCCAACATTTGGTGTGCTCCTCCGTGCAAAAACAGCGAAACTGTTCCTCGTCGGGCAACGCATTTTCCGGCTGTCTGCGCGGTCCACAGCGACGCACGCAGATCGATGCCTCCCGACAAGAGCCAGGAATGGTTCACCCAGCGCCTCTGGCAGGGCTGGACAAGGTGGAACAACGGGCGGCGGGGGTGGTTCTCTAGCTACGAGGGTGGTGACATGACGTGGGTCACACCACCGCGCGTCGGAATGAATTTAGTTACAGAGGATTTCGAATTTACAATTTCCACCGCAACGCAGGTCACAACACCACACGCCACGCAGAAAAGCATGAGTGCTTCAACACTCGCGCACCAACTCTGCGCTGTCTCTCCATCTCGATGTACACCTCAAATAAGAAACAACTACAATTAAGAAACGGCTTCGGAAACACATGACATCCATGGTCCGTAGAA